GACAAGGTGAGGACGCACGCAGATGGCCGTTATCTCACCGACAAATTGCCAGCTTGAGTGGCTGAGCCTCGTGGGGACTTTGGGCGGGTGAGGGGCGGCGGGGTCAAGGGGGTGATGGATGGCTTTGGAACTGATAGTGTACGAATATATTTGAGACATACATGTCATAGAATGCAGACTAAACTTTACTTTACTTTTTAAATATTTATACGTAAACTAAACAGCCACCTGGAACTTATAATTTTAACAATGAATATATTATAGAATAACTTATAGGAATTTTAAGAGTATTGGATAGTCGATTTCGTTTTCCGTGTTAACTAAAAATTGAAAGGTAAAGATGTAATAAAAGAATCGATTAGGGCAGTACAGTTAGTAGCAGTAGTACACCAGGGGTCGCGGCGACATCTTCCCGCACACGACTCTCCATTGAACGTATCATTATTTCATCTCCAACTCATTATACGTCACGTAAGTCTTATGTTTGTCGTTACGTGTGATGTAACCTCCCGAATAATACATACTCTTACGATGTTTTAGCTAATTTTTATATACATCTCTGACATACATAGTATATACATATACATATAAGTTACGAAGAAAGGCAATAAGCTTTTATATATTATAATATCATAAACGTTATAGTAAATATTCTGTAAAATGTGTGACGATTTCCTACAAATAATTTTTGGAATGTAAATAATAATACAATTTTTTTGGCAATTCTATTCGACACAAATACATTTATAAATATGTATAAACACTTATTAACAAAAGAATAACGAGGAAACATAAACAGACTTGTGTTCCGGTCCGTTAATGTTGACAATTACGCAGAGCGGTGGCGCTGGCGTCGTGTCGCCGTTACACAATGTTACAATGTTACACTCCAATGTTTAGAACTATAAAATTAAGCTTTACATTTCTTAAACTATCTCATTTACGAAAATTTACTTTAAATAAAGAAATTTAAAATTTTAATGAAGTCTTGTAATTATGTTTTACTTTTTTATGCACACAAAGAACAAGTTTATTAACATAAAACGAAAATAGTTCTAAAATACTTAACACAATAACACGTTACATACGATATCTAAAAGTAATTTGCCTAAATTGGATCGAAGTAAATTGATATGGACATTGAAAGCAACATCAATCAATATGTATTAATATTTCTTTGTATTGTTGTGCCTTTTAGTGTAGTGTGTAAATAAAGTACACATCTAGTATTTTATAAAATAGCACATTTATTATATTTTTCAATGTGTCAGATTTATTGGTTGTGTCCTTGTTTCAGATAATCTGAACATTCAATGAATTTCTTTCTTTTTTCTTCACGTTTAATTCTAATCACACCATTCTCCTATTTATAAAAGAGTTAATTCTAAAGATAGTACTCACATAGTTTCAGTTTTAATCCGTGACTTTAAAAGAAATTGTGTTAAATTTTATTGCAGTCGTAGTGTTACAGAGAGGTCGGTATATCTTAATCGTACATTCGTAAGGCGGACACGGGACGTGCACAACTTTCTCAGACATTAATAAAGTCCAATGAGTTCTCTGGGGGACGTGCTAAGTGATTGATGGAAATGGAAGCTATTTCCTCCCCCCGGACATTGCACAATACATTGTCTCCTAAAACTTAAATGACCAAATTACTTATTTGAAAGTAAAAATAAATACCTGGACAACAACGGGACGTAAATTGTTTCATCGTGTCAGAATGTAAACGGTAACCTACAAGTTACATAGATAATACTAGAATTACGATGATGATAATGATTTACATGCATCCTCTGTTATTTGTAATCTGTGATGGCACAGAGTATAGATGCAGACACGTTGCATGACGTCACACGTAGTACCGCGCGCTCTGCAGTACACAAACTGTGAAGTAATAGACAATTTGTTGTCTCAATCATTACCACATTCACAATACTACATGTGTCATCTGCTAAAACATGTTTAATGGACATACATAGTCTCCGCCTAACCCTCTAACTGTCGAACTCAGAGGTTAAGTGGTCCTCCTTAGTGTAGATTTGTCTCTGAGTGAGGCAGTGTCACACATTTATTTCACTATTTACACATTAACATTAGAAAATATTTTAACAGTTTTGTATTAAATTGTGTAAATGTTAAAAGAGACGTGTGAAATGATGTAAGTCAATATCAGATTGAAAGTGTTAACATTATAGAAAGGTTAGAGATTGTATTTGTAAATGATACAAATTAGCAATCTGAGTCGCTAATATGTAGATATGAGTTTTGTTAACATTCTTATAATATACTTTCCTAATATCACACTACACACGACACTAAAAATTCGTCTTATTTTGTCTAAAATAAATAAAAATTACATTCGATTATTTACTTTTATGTACAGCATATGCTTTAATAACCTAACAACTATATCGAGGACATAAACATAGAATAGGACATGCAAAGCAACTTGCGATGAGACCACATTACAAGACAAAGCTGTGCGCTTTACACAACACAACACTAGGAACGTTGAGCGCTTTGAATCGCTGTAAGCCGCTTTGTGTCGACACTAGGCTTAGTTTGAGTGCCTGGTGGCCTCCGCCCTCCCCCCACAGCAGCAATCCCGGATTACGAAGGCATACACGCGGTTAAGCATAACAACAGTAATGGGCTAAGTAATTGATACTAAGCGTGCTACGTGTTGCGACAAACACTTCATTTCTTCTTTACTTCTTATTATTTCATTCATCTCTCTTATCCTCTTCATATTTCTATCTTTAAGATGATAAACCATTTCATTTGCATGTTTACAACAGTGACTCATAACAAGATGCTAAATAGACAAAAATGGATAGAGAAGTTTCTACGTAAGTTAAGTATTATAAATACTAGTAAGTGTTTCTATTTTAAAATAACCTAGTAATAGATATGTAAGACGAGATGTGCTCAGATATCAAATGCTTTGGGTGTCATATGACATGCGTGACACGCACAGTGGCCAGTGACGGCCAGTGACGGCCAGTCGGCCAGTGATGGCCAGTGACGGCCAGTGATGGCCATGACATTGACATGCAAAATAATATGGTATATCATCGTATCGTCCTAATAATCAGTAATAGTCTCATAGATTTTGGTACTTTTTATTGATCCAAATACTAAAATATTGTAATTCTAAGCATTTTTTGCAATTAATGATATTTTCTTGTAAAGAAAATAAAAGATGACAAGATAATCATAATTTTCTACTTTTTTTTATAACTTCAAACACAATTAAATAGATATCAGTATTAATATTATATCTTAACGTTAAATAATATATTTCTATTACATTATTTAACTAACCAAAATCTTCTGGTTAATTAGTCATACGTTACATCGCTGTCTCTGTAACTATTACACTCGTGTTCTTCGTTAATGAAACAAATACAACCATGTTATTAAACTGCCAAATTAAATGAAAATAGCTTCAAATTTATCCATTCTAATAAATAAACAAATGTTTCTCCTCTATGTTAATTGTTTGTACAAATGAAAACATAAGAAGTTAGACGTAAACATATAACATAGTGCGGTGTGTCCCCGCAGCGGGGCTCATAACATGACTCTATAAAACATTACGTCACATGCGAAAATTTTTCTCACTCATGGTGATACTTTGACATTTAACATAACAGTTTTACCATAATACCATACTATCCGAGTGTACAGCACTGTGTCAATATTAGTTCGCACGCACATTTGTGTAATAAACGCAAAACTAACATAATTATGTTTTGTGCAATAAAAGACATGTCAGATATCATTAGTTTTGGGTAAACTGTGCTCGCGTTTGACCGCTCCTTGTTGTGGCGCTAAATTACAATAATCAAAAATCAGACATACGTAAACTTGGTAGGGAAGAGATGAAAATTGGTCTGTGTGTTGAAAACTACGACTCCGACTGTTTTAATTGGTAAAATATGATTGTTTGGATAAGTTAATTATTGAAAAAAAAACAATGTAAAAGTTAAAGCATTTAACTAATTCACATCAAGAATTCTTACATAAACCTTATCTTTACATACAATATGGTTATGTTTATTTTAAATACCCCAGTACCCAAATTTAAGATAAGAGGTATGTATGTAGATAGGCATAGAGCGAGTTATATGCTATTCACCAGCAGAGAAAATATAGCATCACTGAGAGCAAACACATTAGTAACATTACACTTTGTTAAAAAAAATGCTTATAAGTTAAATTTCTAAAAAAGCCTAGAGCAGCTTTTCTTTAAATGTGCTTTGTGAAGTATTTCGGGGAATCTACAAAAATAGAATCTGGGATTCCTTCAAATAATCCTCTACTCAAAAGGATTCCCTAGCCAAGAAGACTTGATAACCACTGGGCTGGACCCATAAAGAACTGCAGCAACTGTTGTCATGAATTAACGGAAAAGCTTTTATGAAAAATACTGTAAATATTATAGTTTTCTGATGTGGATTAATAATCTGACATAAAGTGAAGAAGTCCATTTCCAACAAATGCGGAAACCAAAACAATTAAACATTTCTAATACGTGAAAACTTTGCACAACCGCTTGATTGAAAATTAAAGTTGAAATTGAATCTAAAAGCCAATTGAAGTCTTAGGAGCTTTTCGGAATTGTATTAGAACTCCGTAATCGCTTTGATTGCGTCGCTTGTTTCACACTTTTTGAATTTAATTTGATCAAACATGAATAAAACAACAATTAAACATTCTATTCCATTATATCACATGAGTTTCATATGTGCGTGCGAACTTCAGCGTTTCCGTAAATTTCAAAGACGATATTAAATCTTTGGCAATCCAATTTGCTCCGAAAATAATGGGCTATTACAATTACGTGCTTCGTAAATTAGCCTCTTTTAATAGAATAACTGATGTACGATACAATAAAAAATAATATAATCTATGTAAGATGTATGGAGATGGTACGGGAGGGGGGCGAGAGGGGGGCGACATATATAGAGAAGATGTCAGCGGCTGTCGGCAGTGCGCCGGCGCAGACGTCGCCGTGATATTTTCCGCGCAAAGTTTGACAGTTTGTGTATTTACTCTGTGCGTATTTAAACACGATATACGGACTCTGATTGATTTTTTTTGGTAAGTCTATTATTTTTGACTCATTAATGAGATTATTAAAACGTAATATAAAAAATATAACAGTTATAGGCTTTGTTTGGTATAGTTAAATTATTATTAAATATAAATTTTATTTAATTGATGTGAAAGAATCAAATGAATTTTAATATTTATCAGCTTTAATGACGTTGCTGAAAGCAAGCAAGCAAAAGTTCAATTCGTTAATTCAATTTTTTTAACAGTTAACAGTTCAATTTAATAACAATAATAAAATAATTATTTGTTACAGATCTAAGCCGAGAAAGATTTTCAAAATGACTTTTATAAAGTCGCTGGTAAGTTTCCTTACATATTTATTTAAAAAAAAATCCCATTTTTCGTTACTTTTTGGAATTATCGAATATATTGTTATACTCAAACATTATGAAATAGGCTGACAATATATAGTTTTCAGTATTCTGCAAAATTTAACTTGAAGATAACGAAAATATTTTTATAGTAATTGTGATCCTAACGATCCTGTATTTTGATGAAATCAGGATTTTAAACTCGCTTAATTCTTTTGCGCGCTTCGCTGCCGCACTTACAGACATTTAATCCTCACTAAGGTATAACTTAAATGATTATTAGTGAGTATTAGACAATGTTTCTGAGTGAACAGTTAGGAATTCATCTAACGTTAGGGAGCGGGAAATTTCGGCGAACATGTCGTTAATTGCACGTAAACACAATAATAATTGTGAGCATAACGCGCTGTACGTGGGTAACCAGAGCGGAGCGCACTCTGCGCCGGCGCCGACACCGAGCCTCTTTATTTATCACTTACATAACCGCAACTCACGAGCTTCTCATTATATTAAAAAATGCATATTTAATATTCTAAACAACAGTTAAAAACTTCTTGACATTTGAAGATTTTGAACATTTACTAAATTCACGATGTAGGATACATACCGCAGTAGTTTTTGGAAATTTACGAACTATGGCGGTCTTGTCGATGGAATAATTTCCAGTTCTCCCTTTTTTGGGCCGTTCTCTTTACCTACTAATAAGACACACCCTAGTAGAAGTTACATTAAGTAGAATTTTAAATGATTATGATTATTTGCGCTATTTTCTATACGCATACTTTCTGTCTTATTGTTTTTATAAAATATTATTTTCCTAAGCTCAAATTGTATATACATTGCCGTCTTCATCTTCAGCTCAAAGCTTATTCACATTCATCTCTAGTCCTAACTTAGAGCATGAATAAAATAGATATTCTCTGATGTGCTGCACTAAGCGTGAAATATATTTGTTGTCATCATCTGAATACTAAATGTACAAGTTCTAGGTTACTCGTCTTTACCTGACACCGCCTCCACGCGAGATGTATCCTGCCTATAGAAAGTCTACGGAACTGGCCAACTGCCATGATTTGTAAATATTTGCACATTTAGCGACAATTTATATTCTACAATGCGGTTTGTACGACACAGTAGGCTAAAGTACATTCAACAAAAAACTTACGTTAATTAAAGATATTCGAATTGTAAGAACGAAGTAATTAAAATTAATAGTTATATAAAATTTTAGATTGTTTAATACTTTTAATGTACACCAAGTGTTATATAAACAGTTGCACTGTATTTCTTTTTAATTAGAAATTGCTTTAGATTAAAGGCACACACAGATTCTATTTTTTTTTCTCTTTTATTGCACTAGGCAGCTATTTGCCTTCAGCTTTGTTTATGGCTTAGCTTGCGAACAGATCATTTAAGAGACATCTGCAGCTTAACAGCAGCGTCAGCGTCAAAGCCTCTCCTCGTTAGTTTGACACAATGCGACTTGCGTCACAGCGGACCGCAATATGTTACGTCACCCGCCAACCCGCCATAGCACGCGACTCATGCACCATAGACATGCGCTCTATGCTTTATGACCAACTGTGCTTTCCTCTCTTTGTCTGCAAACACATTAAAGTTGTAACTTAAAAAAATATTAAGAAATTTTTAATATAGTCGTGTCGTTACATAACCGAGTTATTATAAAATGAGCAGTAATTAGAAAAAATTTAAAGACATATTTGATGCAAGAAATAGTCGTTAGATTTTATAAGTTACTGCGTAATAGAATTCCATTGCCAAATAAGGTAAACAGATGTCATAGAAAGTGAATATCGCACAACACTGTGAACTGCGACCCACTGAGGGGGAACAAACACCGCGAGTGCGGAATATGGGACCACAACTTGGTATTCTATCAAAGACTTTAAATACCATACTTTGACATTTTTAGATTGCAATTAACTTGTTTGTTTGATAATGAGAATAAGATAATACATGCAAAATCACAATCTTACTTCTTACTAATGTTATAAACGCCAATGTTTGGGTGGATGTTTATTAGAAGTTATCTCCAGAACAGCTGCATGAATCTCGCTGTAATTTGGTGCAGATATAGGACACGTCAGGTACTAATAAAATTTTTATTTTTATTTCCGCGCGGACGGAGTCTCGGACAACAGCTAGTCTTATAAATGTCGACCTTTCACCTTTTTAAGAATGCGCTAGATTTAAAGTAAAATGAGTTTTACCGTTTGAAGATGTTCGCTCAGTTGTAGTAAGTAGAAAGCGCTAAGAATGTCAAGGTCTCGGGATACGTTTCCGCTAGTTGTGTAACTCTCTCACACAACACAACACACAGACACACAACACATCGCCGACACACAGACACACAAACACACTGTTATTACTTCATTATCATAATTGCCGAACTGTTGAAACTATTTAAGTCTTTGTGTTATTGCATTTCGCCTCTTAAATAATAACAGCGTAATAAATAGTTCCGAGTATGTTACATACATACATAACTATATATGAATATTTAATATATGTTTATGTAGTTTTTTTTAATATGTTTCCGTATAGTTACAACGGCAAAAAATATGTTTCTGAATACATTTCTCAGGTCTATATTTACTTTTTATTCAAATGAAAATGTTTTAACCTACTTAACAGTGACCTATGGAGTTGTTAGTCGAGGTCAGTTCCCAAACATTAGCACAAGCGATTAATATTACATCCGAACAAAGAGTTGTTCAGAATATGTAATGTGGTAGCGGCGGCGATGCTGCGGCGATGCTGCGGCGGCGCGGCGGCCGCTCAGCGTGCGAACCAAACCATCGACACCTATTCAATGAGAGTGATTTATGGTGCGAACCGATGTGCACAATAACACCGCCGCGCACACTCCTCTTTCACAAACAATGAAAAGTGACATCAAACAAAAAATAATTGATTAAAATAATAATTAAGGTAATCGCGACTCGTGACTTTTTTGGTAAAAAATCGTTTTGTTAACTTAGATTTTTCTTCCATAATAAACTATTTTAGATTAGTAATCAATGATCACAATTTTTCATTGATCGTGTCATCATTTCCTGTCGGTTCTCATCTGTGCGACGAATCTATATACTTAGTTCCTGCTTGAGTAGTCAACAACGACTAGAGTGTATCATCGTGTGAAATAAATCCATGTTCTTATCGCAAGTTGTTCTTACATCAATGTAAATCAAACGATAATTCTACAAAACATTACATTCACTTTCAATCAGAACTATCTCAATATTTCAAACTACAGTTTTTCTGATTAGAAATAAAGAAAGTATTATTTCTGCTCCACATTTTAAACACTCGCTTCGGTCTAGGAGAGATGGGTTTCGGTCCCAAGTTAATGACGTCATAACTTTCCATTAAATGAAAATATCATGTCGTAGTGCTGTCATCTAAAAAAGTAAAAGCTTTTAAGGACAACATTAGTTCTCTTAAAAGTTAGTATTTATACATTAAAATGTTTCGCTGTATGAACTGAGAGATCGTAAATACAAAGAGAAGCTTTCCTCATAGGAAACGTTAGAGAGATAATCACTTTGCTCATTATGTTTTTGCTGTCTGTAGGAGAAACGACCTTTGTGTTTATAACATCGACATGTAACGCTTTCGAGAAAATAAATGAAAATGAATCGAAGCGTATTGTCGACAAATACAACATCATGCAGCAAAACAAGCTTCCTATAGAATAAAATCTAATCTAAATAAAAGTCGTCAGAACAAAGTTAACATCTAAAATGTTTAACTTCTTTTTAAAACAGATATAAACTAAATGTGCGAAATATTTCCCAACGTGTTCCGTTACTGCAATGCATATGAGATGCGAAAATAATTGCTCACATGTTGAAGTATCAGAATTTGCACAATTTTGGGAACAATTGTGTTTGTGCAATCCATTGTCAACATTTGAAACAGGCGCACAGCACGGCAACCGCGCAACTTTCAGTGAATTACTAACATAACTAATTTATAACATGGATGGATCGATGGATGGATGTTTGTTAGAAGGTATCTCCAGAAAGGCTGCAAGTAGAACTGGACAGGTAGGCTACAAATATTTTTTTAATTCTGAAGTCACGCGGTACTTCTACCTTATCATGATAAGTTGTATTATGCTTAGAACGTTATTAGTTTATAATAAGCAACACGTGTGCGTGTGTTTCCTGAAGGGCCACGAGGAAGTGTCGGGTTGCGGTCTGCGCGTCGTGTCGACCTCACCAATATTCTGCCATGAGTTGTGATGATAGAGTGTGACGCAATACCTCCTCACCACTGTCTCTGACGCAGTAGATAGTTGTAGATATATAGAATATGTTTATGAATTTTACTAAGGAAAGTTGAACTTTTTCTATTCTCATAGAAAAAAAATTAGTGTAAAGCTTCTTAGTAATCGGAATGTAAATATAAAATCAAGAGAACAAAAGACATCCTTGCGGTTTAGTGGCCCGAATAACTGTTTTCCCGCGATTTAAATAAACGCGGAAAGGAAGTCGACGCGTCGCCATATTTTAATATTTATTCGCATGTCCTAGTGAACACAGCGACGTTGGTCTCTTGTTCTGATAAGCCATCACTTTATATTATTTGGTTTATTATAACTTCGGTGCCAGAAATATTCTTTTTAATAAATGGAACAACAACAGATAACATTGGCAAAGTTTAATCTGGATGAATTATTTGTCGGCCGCGAGCGAGCGGATAACATCGTCATTCCCCCAGCCCAGTACCTGCCCCCCCCCCGTGCCTCTCCCCCGCAGCCACCGAAATCGCAACCGCAGAGCTTTAGCGCAAACCCTCGCAATTACAAAATAATATCAAAACAAAGCGCTCCTGTTTGCTAATTACTTTGTTCAAACAAGCTCAGAACAACACATCGCACGACTTGCTCTCAAATTAATTGTAACATTAATTCATTAATTTAGTACAACGCTAAAAACTAATTAAGTAATAATTAGATTGATGTACAACAAATTACTCAATTTGCATACAAGTCTGTATTTATTATCAACTGGCTCTATAATTGAATAAACTATTTTAAACACGCCACAATGCAAACTTACTTCCACAATGCACCGAAAAACAGTGAAATAGAAAGCGCGTGAGATCGACGAGATGATCCGAGTTAGTGCGCGTGCGCTTGCGACAGTTCACACCGCGGTCACAGCGACAGTTTATCCTCGAGCAGATAAATATCAAGTTTAGAGATTGTTGAAAGCGGTGTGATTTGAATTCGGTGCGCGCCCGCCGCTGAGGAAAACCTGATCACTTTACGTGATCCGCTTATAAACACCTCACACGTTCACAATTAAGTATAGTTAACATGTTGCCAGAGGAAACGTGGGTTGCTCACGGAAAGGTTTAAAAAAGCGGAATGTGAAACAACAACTACCAAAATATACTATATACGTTTACATGAGAGTGCAGTTGGAATCTATACATTATATGAGTTTATAACTACGTATACACGCGGCAATGTGAGACATTTCAAGTCAGAGAGCTCGTGTCAACATCAATCGTAAATATTAAACAGAGACAGTTGAAATATAAATAAGACATGTTTAGGTATTTTCCCAAAGGATATTAATATAAAAAAATCGCATCTTGAATTCCCAGGTATGCTTCCGCAGGTCACATGACACGTGTCTCATGTATGTATGTATCTGCAGTAAGTAGTAGCTGATGTAAACGGAAGATAGCACGAAACTATTGCAGTTCAGTTTACACAAACGATTTCCTTTCTTTCGTTTCCTTACAATTTTGTTTTGTAAACCATATTTCAGCTATATCGTGTGAACATGTCACGGTAAGGAAGTGATAACCAAAAGATGCAACGTGCTATTTTTTTCGATAAACATAAAAAAACCAAACTTTTTAATGTAATCATTTCTTTTAATTCTTGTACCAAATGTATCAAAATATTGTCTCAGTGCGATCTGTTTTATAAATAACTAAATTAGTTTTCAAGTAGTTTCCCAACTGATATGAATCTCATGTCGTCCCAGATGCCTCACGATTTTTGCACATCGCGTTCTCCCGTACCCGTGTGAATGTAACTCGAGACTTGCGCAAAAACACATCGCAAGCTACGGCGTGTATCTAAGTGCTACTGTCATCTCGTAATCTTTCTAATCAAAATGTTTCCAGAATTGATGAATATGACTCTCTTATACTCGCGTCACAACTCTGTCTCGTTATTCATCTTTTATCAGCTAAGCAATATTTCACTATATATTTAGTTTCATATTTTCCTATGTTCTTTGCAGTTGTTTGCCGGACTCCTTGCGGCTGTGGTGAGCACCAGCACGGCGCGGAAACACTACAAGCGAGATGGTCAGTACTTCTTAATCACGTTCGACTGTTACTAACACTAGTGGAGCCACTAGTGTGTCGCACCGTTACATCTCAAAGATTCATGACTTCACCGAGCGCAGTAATATATTATTTTAGTCCCTATAGAATTCTATTACTAGTTTAGCTACTTTTGTGAAAGTTGAATACGACAAAATAACTATAAGATTAACCGTAAGTGGTTGCGGTCATTACAACATGTACTGTAATGTCATATTATAATACTTGTTTATGAGCAACCACTTCAATTCAATTAGAACGGATTATTTCATATAATAAAAAAATAATAAAATAATTTTAATCGTTCGCCTTCAGCACCTCTGAGTTCTTCGTACCTACCACCGTCAAGCGGTGGCGGCAGACCGTCCTCTTCATACGGCGCCCCTCGGCCTTCGAGCAGCTACGGGTCACCCAAGCCATCTTCAAGCTACGGACCTCCGAAGCCATCATCAAGTTATGGGCCACCGAGACCTTCGTCTAGCTACGGCGCACCATCATCGAGCTACGGCGCCCCAGCACCAAAGCCATCTTCTAGTTACGGAGCCCCATCGTCGAGCTACGGAGCTCCGGCACCCAAACCGTCATCTAGTTACGGAGCCCCATCGTCCAGTTACGGTGCTCCCGCGCCCAAACCGTCGTCTAGCTACGGTCCCCCATCGTCGAGCTACGGAGCTCCGGCACCTAAACCGTCATCCAGTTACGGACCGCCGTCGTCAAGCTATGGTGCTCCCGCGCCTAAACCATCATCTAGTTACGGGGCTCCTTCGTCGAGTTATGGAGCACCTGCATCAAAACCATCTTCCAGTTATGGTGCCCCGTCTTCTAGTTATGGTGCACCAGCTCCATCCAGCTCATACGGCGCTCCATCGTCAAGTTATGGAGCTCCTTCGTCATCCTCACATGGCGGTTCAGCTCCATCGAGCTCATACGGTGCTCCCTCATCCGGTTCCCAGGGTTTCTCTGTGCCATCCAGCTCATATGGTGCTCCTTCATCTAGTTACGGAGCCCCATCATCGAGTTCACATTCAGTACCGTCGAGCTCCTATGGAGCGCCGTCTTCTAGTTACGGACCACCATCGTCGGGATCTCACGGCAGTTCAGCTCCATCCAGTTCGTACGGTGCACCGTCTTCTAGTTACGGAGCCCCGTCTTCAGGGTCTCACGGTGGATCTGCCCTATCGAGTTCGTACAGTCCTCCTTCTACCAGTTACGGCACCCCCGCAAAACCTCCGGCGACTAGCTATGGTGTACCCACCGGACCGTCGACAAGCTACGGTGCGCCGAAGCCTTCAAGTTCTTACGGCACACCATCTAGCTCATATGGCACTCCCTCTATTGGTCACGGCGGCGGCGGCTTCAGCAGCAGCGGTGGCAGTGCCTTCGGAAGTAGCGGCTTCGGCGGCAGTAGTTTCGGCGGCAGTGGCCCATCCTCCGGCTACGGCGCCCCATCCGTTTCGGCACCTTCTTCAAGTTATGGTCCACCTTCTACTTCCTACGGTACTCCATCGAACAGCTATAGTACTTCTAGCTCCGGACACTCTTCTGGAGGTCACGGCTCCGGCGGGTACTCCACTGGTGGGTCGGGAGGATTTTCCGCCGGTGGATCTAGTTCCGGTGGTCACTCCTCTAGCGGGCACGGATCCGGAGGCTACTCATACAGCGGTGCTGGCGGATACTCGTCGGACGGGGCTGGGAGCTATTCTTCCAGTGGCGCAGGAAGCTTCTCATCGGGTGGATCGGGCGGTTACTCAACGTCCGGCGCGGGAAGCTACTCGGCGAGCGGCGCGGGCGGCTACACTTCCGGCGGAGCTAGCGGGGCCGGCGGCTACGCTTCAGCAGGCTCCGGCGGGTACTCGTCGGGAGGGTCCTCGACCGGCGGCGGGTACAGTAGTGGCGGGGCGGGCCACGGGGGCGCTTCCGGCGGCGGTTACTCCAGCGGCGTGCCGGCCACCATCAACCAAAGCTACGATTCAAACGGCGGTTACGTGTATTAAGGAAACATTTAGGTATTTTTAAACTATAAATGGAACAGTCAATTATTTATCATGTAATGTTACCGTGCTTGTGGACATAGATTGCCATTTAAAGCAAAAAAACAATACTAAGGCTCATTGGAGGCAGGCAGATTAAAAGCAATATTAAAGCAGCAAATGTGTAAGAGTACAACATTGTAAACAAGTATTATCATTATTCGACATAGACATGTTGTGTACACGCAGTGCGGCGGCCATGCGTATGTGTGTGTATCTACTCTGTCAGCCTCCCCTCGCCCTTCACCCCCCCCCCCCCCCCCCCCCTGCCCCGGCCGCGCTGCTGACGCTTTTCTTTAGTTTGTAGTGAAAAGTATTAATTTAATCATTACTAATAAAATGTACAAAATCTAGATTAAGTGCGACGACGATCCTTTACGTAAATATATGATTTGTAAATACATTTGTTTTAATTACTCTGTGATGCCCTCAACATCTAAGCTCTCACGTGGCGTATAATTTGAGTATTAGTGATGGGATTCCCGGCACATTGTCATTCAATGATCACTGGATGCCGGCAACTTCAATCCACTAAAATAAATGAGGAATGTTTGTCTGGATTGCGTGGATACTAGTGTAAATAAATGCATTCAACATGCTATAAGTTTTATTTAGTTCGCAGAAGTGACTGCAGAGTTCACAACATTACACAGGTTTACATTTCCAAATATTCAACAAGGACTAGGAATAGGTCAATAGTAAGTATAACTACTAACTAACAGTGGACAGATCGCTTCCCAACGACAGCGCTTCTCCTACTCTCCTACTCTCCTATCTACTGAGGATCAACACAAATGGTATACATTTAAAATATAACAATTATCGAACAGATGTGACTTTTACAAAAATATTTTTTACTAATTTTATATGTTTCTTGATTGGTATACATTTTAAATATGTTTTAGTGAAGGATATTATCTTAGTTAACAATATTGGAGATACTTTGATAATTTATATGAAGAAAATTAAGTGACCGGTATCAAAACCTTCACAAAAAACGCAAAATATAAATTCTGCTTTAGGCTCATTACTAGCTAAATAAAGATCATCAGGTATAACGATGTAATCGTCCTCCTCTATAAAGCTGGTCCATTAGGAAGCGACGTGTAAGAACAACAACAATGTCTAACTCTACACTTAATATATATTATATATATGATATGTATTCGTTCCACACTAAATTACTTTGATATGTTTAAGTTACACATTTACATATACATAGATAATATATAAGTCACATTTATATGATATGTATCGTGGCATCGTTGTCATAGCGAGACGACAATAAGAGGCAGGTGACTTATCACAAACATCCATACACAATCAGCAAGGTAGGTAGGTACATACACTCTAACACATATTATTATATCTATATATCTATTCGTTAATAGCGATATAAATCTCTCATAAAAATAATTCAAAAGCTTGATTACATCGTTCAATAACGCCTTCATATAAAGAGATATAATGACAAATACTTTACAAATATGTTCATAGACAAAAGCGTACTCACACAGAGGGTCGGTCGGGTTGCTCGAGGGCAGGGCGAACACTTACATATACATTGATATTATTTTCAACACCGATACATTTAAACTACATTAAAACAGGCAATGGACGCTGCCAGTGATAAATTCTCATTTCAATGAAATGCTAAATGATTTAAGAATAACCTTTTTCATAAGTAGAAGTAGGCCATCACCATTTTTCCTTTGTTTGCTTTACTCTCAGTTAAAAATACATTCGTATTCTATCTCCCATAACTTGCCAAGTTGAATTCAATCTGTTTCACACAACAGACAACAGTTGTTCACAAAACAGTTCAGAGAACCTGATAATAATCACTGATAACGTCCTCATGCCAGAAAAGATCGTCAACCGTCCCTAAACTAGTGTGATGGCAAGCGCACATGTTACATCTATAAACAACAAAACATTACGTAAATTCGTAATCCAAAGTGAGCGCGCTAACTTTAAAGTAAACTTGTGCAGAGCTACTCTCTGTAGCTGATACAACAACTATATATAAATATCAAAATATACGGAGCTAAATAATAAACTTTTCTAAATAGGTCTTTTCATCTAAATAATAACAGATGCTTTAGAAGCGATTGTTTCTTTTATACGTATTTTATTATGTAGAAAGGAATAAGTTTACTAAATTGTGATCGGCGGCGGCGCGACGAGATGTCAGTTCGCTCAGTGACCGTCTCTGACCGCGCCTACATTCCGCCTTACTACGATAATTGACTTAAATAAGGAATCCTCTTCGATATAAACAATTTCATAAATAATTACATTTCATCTACTATATTTATAAGTTCACATATTGATATGTATGAGTTTCATTATGTTATAATTAATAATAACATCAAATATCTTTTTAGCTACAATATATAATAAGTTTCTCTTAAACACACAACAAATATAACACATCCATTATTATAATAATATATCTATTGCTTCTATAGTTGTACTGCCTACACATCATAAGATATATCTGATATGTTTACAAACAACCATTTTGGTTTTTTAGTTTTGATTTTTAACTTTAGCACACGGAAAGATCGCGTATTGGAAGATATGACATTTGTAAGTTTGAGCAGCGACAGTGACATCAACCTTAGCAGATACAAGTTACGTACATTGAGGCCCAGGCCTTAGCGGCCATAGACAATATGATCCTTTAAAAGTTTACAGTTTGACGGTGCGACCTACTGGAGTGCAAATAGACAGGGCGGGGAGAGTCGTCGTCGTCTTCTAGTCCATTCGACTTAATAGATACGGGGATCGTCTCAGAAGGCCGTCTGCTTGCCGAAGGGCTGGACGGGCGGGGGGGCGCTGCTGTTGCCGAAGAGGGGGGTGGGGCCGTCGTTGGGGTCGTCGAGGTCGTCGTCGGGCTCGAGGGCGGGGTTGACGCGGCCGGAGCGCTCGTCGGGCCCGACCAGCGTGGAGGCGGCGCCGTACAGCCGGCCCGGCACGCCGCCCAGCACCGACATCTGCTCGCCCGCCTCCGAGGGCTCGTCCACGCGCCGGATGTCCTCGGGGATGTTCACCACGCAGTTGAAGTAGTCAGACTCCGGGCTCAGGTAGCCGCCGTTGAATAGGAATCTAGACCACACAATACCATACAATCAATAAATAGCCAGCCCATTACATAGAACTTTTACATGGACTATTTAGAACAGTGTTTATTTCTTCTATTCTATCTCCTACCTACATTTGCTAAAAATTAAACAATGTTATAGTTAAACCGGTTACATACTGTATATTAGAAATACATTTTATGAAAGGAATTCGAAAGTGAATCTTAATGTAACTACCATCTTGTGAGTAATTAACATTTTAATGTGCGCGTCGCGGAATCAAAAATAGCGTTAATTTACAATTATATTCTGTAAGATCAGACACGTGATGCGAGTTAACACTGTGCACTTAATTATCACCAATTGTAGAATTTCGTACAAAATGAAACAATTACATAATTATGTACAGAATATTCCAAAAACGTTTGTGAAAGCTAAAAATAAATTGAAAGCATTCTGCCTCGTGAAAAATACGGCTGTAGAAATATAAATATAAAGTACGTCGCGTGATTGAACGAACATTGTCGGAGAAACATTGCCGTGACGAGAAACATAAAATAATGTATGTAAGATAACAAGAAAAAAAAGATGCAGAAAAGTTAAACAAAAGCGCAATCTTTTATGCGTGTGTCACTCAACAATCGGCAAATATCGGCACAAAAATTAACTAAATATTTATTTCAGACAAAAAGGAATTGCGCTTTTCAAGACGATGTTTAATGTAAAATTTAGTTACTAACAACCTAACATTGTATTTAAACTAAATTAAGACCAAGAACTTACTAATACGTAATATTTATTACAACACAATTTTGACAAATTATTAAATACTAGTATTTAACTGACCGTCAACAGTGTTCGACATCTCGAAACACATATACGTGAGAATAAATGACTTAAACAATATAAAAATATTATAAAATAAAATGTAAAAGTATAACGATGGAGGAGACGAGAGTGCACTTAGAGGTAGAGAGGTGGCGCGAGATGAGATCAATACAAGAAACAGGTCACACGGAGGTCGTCACTTTGTTACACTACAAGTAATACAACGTTTCTTATATCTTTTTTAAAAATACTTTTATGTTACTTATAACACATGTTTTATAAATTTGTTCTGTTACTAAACAGATGTATTTTATGCATAAAGTCAATTGAATCTGAAGTTAGGAAAAGCTCCTTTTTAAGTTTATTTATATGAATTATTCTTAGAAGAGAAAATTAAGTTTGCGACACGAAGAGAGGCAATGAATTTGTTTGTGCCGCGCCGCGCAAATGTTTGTTCCTTAATTTACTATTCAAATCAATTTGACTCTTGACAATTTCAGCAAAATTTCATTATCATATAAAAACTAAACCAGATTATTTTATTATGAATAATTTTACAAGTACGTTATTGTTATTAGCCGCCTTCTATTTAAATGTTTTCTTTTACATTACTTAAAACGTAAATAATTTAATTGACTTACACTGACAGCCAGGAGATGAAAGCGAGCGTGAATAGCGAGAGCACCATGGCCATGGTGCGGAATGGGAACAGCTGCACCTCGTTGTCGGGATCCCAGCCCGGGTAGTGGATGAGTGCGGGCAGACCCAGCAGCTTCTCACCGCCCGAGAGCCGCACCAGCAGTGCGACGATGTAGGCCGCCAGTGAGCCATAAGTGTTACAGTGCCGCTTGAAGTGCACCACCATTAGCAGCTGCGGGAACAGGATCACGTACACCAGGTCCGAGCACATCGACCTGCCGACAAACACACACACCGTCAACACTACGTGTACAAACACCTTGCTCACATTAGCTAAACAGGTATGAAATAATTGTTTCTCGTAACACGGTATGGGTACGGAAAGATATATCTCAACCCTTCCTTTACCATGCCGCAATACTTAATTATAAAATACTCGTAGAATGTCATTCTGCAGGTAACTACATGATTTTAGTCATGAGATTTTACGTATAACGCATGCGAAATTCAATCATTTAGCCGATGGATTTCCTATTAAATCATGCAAGCCACCTCCTCCAGTTCTCACACCAGCGACGGAAACCCCCTATGCCCCTCACATCCATTCCCCACACCCGCACACCCCACACGTCACCTGGTCGGGTGGCGGGCGAGCAGCGGGCGGGCGCTGGTTCATTTCATTCAGTGGCCTCGTATTTTCCTACGACTGTTTGATTAGTTCCTGTTGGTTTTTAATTCGCGATCCAATCGCAAGTTGGCGAGGTTTCTGTTTGCCGGAATAAACCTTTTACATTTGCCCTGTATTTACTTCCACATAATTATTTACGATATCGATAGAAACAATCCTTTATCTATTTTGATAACTACATATATCTGTTGCACGTAGCTTTGTAGCACTTTGTATCTTTGTAGTTTTGTTTATTGATGGTCTTTGTCTCGTAAGAATACATTATATAATTTTCAACAAAATATATTTTTTTTGACTGCATTGAAAACCAATCTAAATTAAAGCTATCTTTATTTAATCACAAAATATCGTTATTCTATTCATGCATTTAATTATGCGTGTTATTATTTAGGCACGCAACGTATCTTTTCAAAGTAGATATATTATAATGATGATAGAATGTTACCGCCTTTTATCTTTGTTACGAGACGAGAATAATGTAAGTGCCGCTGTCGGAGCGCGGCGGCAACTTTTAATTAATAATTATACAAACAAGTGGTGCTCCTCTAAACTCTAAAGATGCACTTCAATAAATTATATTGCAATATCTTTATATCAATATCTTACAAACGGAGACACGCTGATTAAATTTTAAAATCAGCTAACTACATTGCTTATTACATTTTTAAAACAGCTAACTTTTAAGTCAAGACGCGTTAATTTGCAACGTAGGGTAAACAACATGTGTACAGAGTTAAGTTTCTATCAAAATGTAACCGCCAAGATGTTCATTAGGAAGGCACCGTAGCGTATGTACCGAACTTACCACAAGCCGTATATGGAGGGAATGGTGAGCGCCATCACAGTGGACAGAACGCCCACCACCAAGATGGAGACGCGCATCACCCAAATGATCTCCATCTCCGAGGCGTTCTGTCTGAAGATCAGCTTGTACACATTCCTGACCACACAAACATGTTATTGTTATATCGCAGTGCAGCTTTTAAAAACTCACTTATACAGTGGTGCAATGGCAGTGCAATGGCGCGTATTCCTAACTTGCTCGATGGAGTACTAAAGAATGTTTAATTTGTATATTAGTATTTAAGCCAGCAATATTACTTAGTATTTCTTATCGTAGTGAACAACATAACTATCTTAGCTTACCTTTTTAAGGGAAATTTTATAATATCACTTAATTCATTGCATAACAGTTATTTTAAAATTTGTTAGATCGCAAGTCTCAGTCGCAACACATAAATTTTTACTTCATAAAACATTAGGCGATAGCAAGGCACCTGGCAAACATGGAGGAGGCGCTGAGCACGCTGGAGTCGGCGGAGGACATGACGGCGGCGGACACGGCGCCCAGCCCGAAGAAGCTGACGAAGTCCGGCGTCAGGTGCTGAAGTACTAGCGGCAGGATCATGGACGTCTGGTCCGACGTCAGCTCGCCCTCCGGCGTCAGCTCGCCGTGGAAGTTCGTCTCGTTCCATGCTGACACAAAATGTTTTTACTTAGCAATTCTTATGATTGAATGTCGTGCTTTAAGAGGTAATGCATGACAAGTAATTATTTACCGGTGGCTTTGGCGATGGCACCGATGAGTACGGGCGGTATGGCCATGAAGATGCACCCGATAGCCGCCACGTAGGACAGGATCTGCGCGCGTCCCGCAGTCTTGCTGCTCAGCACGCGTTGGAAGTATACCTGGACACACAGACAAAAAGTAATTTTATATACTATACTAATGTTAGTAGTAGTTAGTGATACAAAATAATTATATTAGTGTTTACCTGCCACGGTATCCCTCCAAAAATGAGCAGGAGTCCATAGTCAGCATAGAACCAATAGTAGTTGGGGTCGATGCTGCCGATCCAATCGACCTCCATGGAGCCGAGAGGCTTGACGTGGTCGTTGGCCCACGCGAACGGTATGCACATCCACAGACCGAGGAAGATGCAGAACAGCTGGATGACATCGGTGTAAGCCACTGAGTACAGCCCGCCGAACAACGTGTAGAAGACCGCCACGCACGCGCTGAAGATCACCGATGTGCGGTGGTCCATGTCAATGATAACCGCCAATGTCGCACCTAAGTGACAAAGATTGTGACACAGACAGGTAACAGACAATATAAAACATCAAAGAGGAATCTCTTACTGACAAAACCGACGCTATAACACGACCCCGTTTAAGAATTGAGGGCAACACATCCCCTTCATTAAACCACGTCAAAGACACAAAGTTGTGTTACGCGTTGTTACTGGAGGAATTGCCAACGCCCCAGTTTATTAAAACGATTACTCAGTTAAATTAAATGTTGATGTGACGACAACTTTAGGGTCTAACGCAATTTGTACAAGTAGGTATGCTTATATTTCTCAAAGTTGCCGTCTTTTTAATGTGTCATTCAATAATTCGTTACTTAATAAAAGGATAATAAAGAAGACAATAAATAATCTTCTTTTTATTGTTAACTTAAAATCTTCACTTTGATGTGTACACATACATTTATTATTGATAAAAATCTGCTTATGATGAATGTGGCATATTTTCAAAGCGATTTCGCATGTTGGGAAACAAGTAATGTCTCGGGAGCGCAATTTACCTGAATCATTATTTGTAAAGATGAGTCGCGACGTCGCGCGACCCGGGGGACGACCCTATTTCTCACACGGATGGGGAGCGACCCCACTTTATTTGCGCAAGACTTACAATTATTATTTTTTTATGTTATAAAGAAACAAAGCAAGTCACTATTGTATGAGCTTGAATGAAGACCTACATACATAAATACAGATTTCCTGTACTATTTATTTTAACTGAAACGAAATTTGGGAAGTTTGTCGTCGATGTCGATGTCATCGATTCCACAGATCGCTTAAAACTGTCACTACACTCGTGCTCCTCGGAATCATATTAAGTAATTACTTGCTGAAGAAAACATATTTTTTATTAATTCTTCTGGGGCACATCCAATTCGCAAAAGATTTATAATATAAAAGTTATGATGGTTTTCAACGTGTTTTATATGTTCGTTATAGATTTGCTGTTCAAGTTGATGCTGCGAGGGCAGAGGCTGGCCGGTCGCCAATTCACGTGGAGTGGACACGAACCTTTGTCTCACGAGGTTCTGTTCAAATAAATGAATTTACAATAACATCTTTTTCCCTTTTTGCTGTTTAAATATTCTTCTAATTTTCTTCTTAAAATATTGTAAATGAGAACATCAATATGTAGGTTATGCATATTGAATAGAGTGTAAGCAAGGGGTTCGTATCGGAAGGATATTTTTATTTTATATACTTTACAACTTGTAAAAGTCTTTTTCGGATCAATTTGTCTACTAAATTCTGTTTCTTTTGAAACAATTTTCTCTATAAATATCAGTTCCCTCGTTATGAATATTACATTAGTGTTTGTAGGCACCGCGCCGCGCCGCTACGAAACACGAACCGATCCTAAACCCTTTGCATATTAAACAGCGTCTGTTCTAACTGACGACACCTACACAAGTTGCTATTTACTATACATTTGAATATTATCGTTCGGCATAATTTGAAGCATTGTAACAGATCCAAGTGAGTGATATTAAGTAATCGTAATAATATCTAATGTGAACACTTTCTAAAAGAATACGGTGGCGTATTCTCATGCATTTACTTCACATAATCTTTTACATGAGTTCACTTTGCAGGAGTTCTACTTACGCTGGTCATTAATAACACAAACAATATTCTCACCGAGCGCCGCCAGGATGCCGGCCGCCCAGAAGACCTCCCCACAGAGCGCGGGTAGGAAGAGCAGACCCCCCATGCGGCTACCAAAAGAGTCCTGTAGGGGGTCCAACATCGTCACGTAGCCTTGCTTGCGCATCGGGTTCGCGAAGAAGATACCCCCTGACGACAACACGACAACATCAATACGGGAAAATGTAAACATGGTAAATTCACATATTCATAAGTATGAGAATATTATGTCTCGAGTAGTATGTAATTTGCGCAAACTTCTGGCGACTGTGACATACGATAATTTGTTTACATTATGCATTTGTTTAATACAAAAGTTTGACTTATTTTAAAAATAATTTTACGAACATAATTATTTAAAATGATAAAGAGACGTTAATTTAGTTACTTTAGTTTAATAAAATTAAAAGTACGGACCGGTCCGAAAGTGGCGTGTTTGTTTCCGGAAATAGAAAAGCACCGCGCAGACAGTATTGATTCCGCAGCGGTTATACGAGCATGTGCGCAGCTCGATTTTATTATAAAATTATATGATTCTTAAATAAATACTGCTTTTAAAGCCAACATGGAGATGAGTTCATTATTTTTAACTCTACACCTCATACATATTTTAAAGGCTTAGAAATCTTATCAATTACTTACTACTAAAATCATCAAGTAATAAAGTCAATAACTCTTCTAAGTTATCAACAACGTACTGAACAGATGAGTAATAGGACGAAGAAAGGGTGGAGTACTCACCGAAGACCAGTGAGAGGGCGTATCCGAAAGGTGCCTGGCACCAGACCAGCCCTGACGTGTAGATGGCCTCCGCCGTTCCGTTGATGTACCCGCCACCCACCCACGTCGCTGCACCGATCATACACAAACATACGATTATGGGTATCATCTCTATATACTCGTACCATCCTGGGTAGGGATTCTGCGTTATATTAATAATAAGCGACATAATCTATTATCAGTCCATAAGTGGACTGAATATAACCCGGCGCACTACTATAGTAACGTATTTTATGTGATGCGTACATACTTATGTATAATCAAAGAAGTTTCTTTTGTTATCGATTACAATTAAATATTAAGAAGACAAAGAAAGGTAACATTTTCATTGCCTCAAACTAAACTTGAATATGTATTTGATTTAGGACAGCGACTCGCTCTGCCAATCGATAACCATTTTGAAGCTGAACAGTGTTTAATCTGAAGTCTTTCGAATTTCGTATCGTCCAAAAGCTATACATCTAACAGATGAAGAAGTCTGTGCTATAGTTGTTTCCATTCTGATTTGATTGTACATAAAAACCTGGAAAAAAAATTAGGAAGACTGACCTGTCATGGTGAATATACCGACGAAGAGGCCGATGGATCTACCGGCCAGCATAACCTCCTCCTCGGAGTCGTTGCCCGGTGGCTTCTTGCGGCCCGCCCATATGCCCACCGCTAAGATCAGCACGTAGAACAGGATGATGGAGATCACGCCCGCTATGTTGATCATCTTGATTGCTTTGTGTGCGCCTTGCCTGTCCTACCACACACAAACACATGCTATGCTATACCATCACTTACTCGAATATATTGTTATCACAATATTCACCTTTCAGGAATTGCATGTTGATAACTTCTATTGATATAGACCAATTACATAAATGGTCATCATCCAGCCTTACTTTATTATCCATTCTGTCATTGTCTCTATTATACATATGTGTATACAGTAGTATTTTTATTCCCGTAAATTGAGAAAGATTCGAACAAAAACGTTTGCCATAAATGTTCTACATCAACTACATCTGTAATCTACAAAAAAACTCGTGCAACTGACCTTGTGAAAGTTCCTCTGGACTCCTGGCTGCGGCGACCGCAAGCTCAGCACCTCACAGCACGGTACACTTCAGGTTATACGTTCCCCAAAACACTCTCATTTAAATCCCACGAGCACTGGTCATATGCACTCTATGCGCTCGAGGGGAGCGGGCGGGCGGCGCTAAGCGCGCAGCTGTCGCCCCATCGGAGTGACGTCTTCTGCGAAGGGCTGTTCCTGGTCCTGAAGCTTAGCCCGCACATGAGGTGCCAGCCTCCTGCGTCCCGAGCCGCGTTACATAAGTCACGGAGGCACGTGCGCCCGACTGACAGCGGCCGGGCCTGGCTGCGCCGCCGCCCGATCGATTCCCTGACGTCATTGGCTGCCGCGCGTCCGCCCTGCGCATGCCCCGCGCCTCCCACTCAACCTACGTCCCACGCTCGCGACTGCTTTTATTATGCTACCTATACATTGCTGTTTCAAAGCTCACGCAAAAGCTCTCCAGTCAAAGAGAAAATGCTGCAAGTGACTTGGCAAGCGATCGAAACAAATTCTAAAAATATTAAAATGGACCTCGTGAGGGAATGGTACGGTCTCGTTTTCCCATTGACAAATTGATTCAATACGAAGAAGCGAAGCAGCCTTGGAGTCACCATCGGACACTTCGATGCCTGAATGTTACATTTTAACTATGACATAAAACATAATCTCAATAAGGTTTATAAAACCTTCTGCACCGACCCCACACGAGTAGGCTAAGGCCAGCAAGAAGATAAAAAATAATCTCAATGTTTAATGTTTCATTTAATACAAATATCCCAAAATCTGTTTATTTATAATGCGCATGATGCGTATGTCCCTTATTTTGATTTAAAAGTTGCCTATAGAACAGAATATCTCGAAATTAATCTGAACCTTCGAAATACAAACATACAATAACAAGTTCCAGCGGCCATCTTGATTGAACTGTCAACTTTATTGACAGTTAAAATCAAAACGTCAGCTCTATTGAGCGTTGACATTTTGTTATATTAGAATTTTTTTATCAAAATTTTACGCAAAAATATATAGTATTCATCTATTTTATAATGATTTAAAATTGTGAAAATTCAAGTAGCGAGGAAAACAAAAAAATCAAAATGCATGACAAGGTTTGCACGGCTGTTTTATATTCAAATTACTAAAATTATTTTTCTATAGCATCTGATACCGCTTTGCATTCTTCGACATCGTAACAGAATAAGTAGAGTAAGCAATACTTTGACACAAAATTAAATCATAAAATTCTAGGATTCTCAACATGGGAAATGTTGTAAGTGAGTACAATGATCAATTTTCTTAAAAGGATATGGATTTAATTTGTCATCAGATTCAGATTACTACTGCTGTTTGCTCCTATGCAATACTAGTTTTTTGCCCGCGGACCAATTAGGAGAATTAAAAAAACAATCTAATAATAAACACAGCCTATATTATTCAACAGTTTTTGAGTTTATACCTTACATCCAAAAATAAAAATCTTTTCTTTTTATATTTAGTATAGACTAGCGGTCGCCTGGGATTTTTAAAAAGTATCCCTACGAAATCGAGCCACATCATTCGAATTTATAACTTTAAGAAACGCAAACTTGCGGACAGTTACATAGACAAGAATTATTAATAAATTTTTTTTTGTTATAAGCAACGCACATTCATCGTGTCTTCATATTATTTTTTTTCGATGCTACAAACATTTAAATTTTATTAATTTTATAAATACATAAATTGATTATATGTTTCGGCATCGTTCAAGATCCTGCGGCTGGCGGATGTGTGGAAGACGTGCAACAAGATCCGCGCGGCTACCTTCCGCGTCGGCCTTAACCTGTGGGACTGGTATCGCCCCCTCGACCCAGATGGCAACTGCTTGCTCTCAGGTGCACTGCTACTTACTTCTGTGAAGACATGACCCACTTTGAAATAGGTCATGTCTTCCGACACAGCTACTAAGTAACTATAATATACTTACATATATAACTACCCCTTTATAAGAGACATCTTTATGACCGGCTTGTGCTAAAGTTAAGAGAATTTATTTATAATGTCTGACAGAGTCAAAGTTCGTGTCGATCCTGGCGGGCCCGCTGCGCCCCGTGGTGGGACTATCGGACTCGGAAATCTCACAGCTGGCAGACTACTTCCGCGCGCAGGACGGCCGCGTGCACTACCACCAGCTCTGCCAAATCATACACGGCGAGGGTGAGCCACATCGCGCCCTCTGAACACCATATGACCTTGTACTGTGTGCATCATACCGCAAACAGTTGCCCTCGACCACAACGATTATATAATAGTGCACAATTCGCCTCTCATACTCTATATATTGTTGATGTTCATTTTTACTGCCTTTGTTTATGGTAACTAAATAAACATGAAATATAGATCAAGTAACTGTGTCTTTCTTATAAAAACAAATAATTACTGAACTTTTCGCAATATGCAAGCAAACAGAAAACGAAGATGAGTTCAACATCATTCGATGTTAATGGTTTTTTATGAAGCAAGATGGGTTGTGGTGTAGATGCGAGCGACCGTAGCCGCACCTCGGCCGACTGCATCCTGGAGGCGTGCCCGCCGCCACCGGAGCCGCGCTGCCATACACTGGACCAGTGGCAGACGCGCCGGCTGTGCTGCCTGCTCGCCACCATCGCCGCCCGCGACCTGCCGCTCAGACCCTACTTCCAGGACTATGAACTTGTCAGTAATATCTGTCTATTTTAAACTCAGCAATTTTATAACCCTAGATAATGAGTCTCTTTATAACGTCCATCAACAGGTGGCCAAAAATGACGGCCGCATCACATTCGCTCACTTCGCTCGGATCCTTCACTTTGTCGGCGTGATCCTGTCCCCCGAGGACTTCAACCTGATCGTGCGCCGGTTTATCAAGGACTCCTACACGATAGACTATGTCGAGTTTCTTAAAGCTGTCGAGGCCGTCAAGAAAGAAGGAATACAAGGATTGGGACCGGTAAATTTTATCAATTTTTGATATGTGAAAGATTGATGATTGATGAAGATTGATGGAAAATTGAGGATTTTAAATCGATGTTAATAAACAAATATGATTTCGCGCATGTTCAGGCTTACCAGCACCCGGGCGCCGTGCTGGACACGACGCTCCCAAAGCTGTCAAGGCCGGAGGTGGAGGCGGGGCGGCCGGGCTCGCTGCTGGGTACCGAGGTGTTTCACCCCGCGCTGCAGCCACCGCGCCCCCCACGCGCTCTGCTCGACGTCATGCTCAGGGTGCAAGAGTTTGTACTCCAACGGCGGATCAGGGTTTCTGAGTATTTTAGGGTTAGTACTTTTTTATTATCCTATGAATATACACAACATTCAATATTAGATATTTTAAGAATCGTTCACCATCTATTGGTATCGATCGTTGACAGGACTTCGATGCGCTGAACAGCGGCCGAATAATGCCGCAGCAGTTCCGGCGCGCGATGGACGCGATGGGGCTGGGCAGCGTGATATCAGAGCAGGAGGCTGCCTGCATCGTGCGCCACTACCTCGACCCTAACGACAAGGAGCGCGTCTGCTGGAGACCTTTCGAAGATGATTGCGACCAGGGTATGTTGTCCTTTGAAACTTGTGCTCAGTCGAAATTCATGACATTTCTTATTAGTAACTAATGGATTTATCTCCTCGTCTAGTATTTACAGTGAAAGAACTGGAGAAGCACCCCGAGGTGGACCCGGGCGCCATGGCCGCCGTCATCGCCGAGCTGCCGGCCTCGGGCTCGGCGGCGGAGAAGCACCAAGTGGCGAACGAGGACCTGGATCTAGCAGAAGCAGCGCTGTTGCGCATCAGAGCGGCTTGTAAGGAGAGGACTATAGACTTAAGACCTATTTTCGGTGACTATGACAAGTAAGTTTGTGAAGTCTTTGTTTGTTAAAGGCTCATTCTTTTAGATAAACCATATTCTTCATTTTTATTTCGTTTTGTTCATTTTGTTTTGTTAATTATTTAATATAATACGTTAATGTTCACTGGGCCTAGTCACTAATTGTATATAATGTCGTCAGACGGCGTTGTGGGCACGTGTCCCGCAGCGTGGTCCGCAGCGCACTGTCGCGCGGCGGCGTGCTACCGGCGCCGGCGCACATGCGCGCGCTCGAGGCGCGCTACCTGGACGACTGCGGTTTCAACTTCATAGCTTTACTCAATGACGTACGTTTTACTTATGAGTACATATACATGTAGAGACTATATCTT